TCTTCTGTCCGTCCTTGAGAAAGGCAGAAAAGGGGAGGATTGCTACAAGTTTTCCCAGACTGTCATGAAGGGAGAAGTGGATACGTCTGGTAAAAAGGTCATTGAATGAAGAGCAGCTTTTTAATATTTAAAATGTTAACACTGTTGGCAACTTGGAATAGAACTTTAAAATATTAAGGCCTTTTCAGATATATGATATATTGTGACCCATCATAATATGATGATCCAGATGTGCTCGCTGCAAGACAAAGAGAAGCTGGGGTTGCGTTGACTCATGTCTTTTGAAATATATCTTCAATGTCTTTGCTCAGGGGCATCTACTTTTCCCATTGGCCCCGGCCTCAGACCTGTTGGCCCCGACTGTGGATATGTTGGCCATGGCTGCGTGCCTGGCTGGCCCCGACTGGCTCTGCTGGAGGAACCTGGTGGCTTTGAGCCACGCTGAGCATGCTGGCGAGACCTCCTAGCCCCATCACAGCCTCTTGGAACATTGTTGTGGGATGAGATGAGAAATTCAGAGATGGCCTGATGTTGTGGGCACCCTTTCCTCCCGGGGCCCTGTTGCCTCTACCCCAATGCAGGGAGTTACCCTGACCCCCAGCAGGGTGGTGCCCCCTTGTCTTGCCATCAGCCCTTGCTGCTCTTGTTAATGAGCTGTACTGGGAGTCAGGTGTAATATAGGGACTATGGAGCAAAAGCAAACGTTGGGGTCAGACTGCTGCTAAAGAAACCTCTCCTGACTAAAGTTTGTTGATGATACTTGGTTTAACAATGTAAATCTATATAAAAGTAAACAGCGGGAGCTTGCTTAGTACTTAAAAATGGGCACGTGGCCTTATCAAGTAATACACTGATCTAAAAGTTAATTGCTTGGGTTGTTTTAGTGCAATTTTCTGCAAACTAAACATAACCCATGAACTTTATACCAAGATTTAAGTAAAGATGTTGGTTTTTCAAACCAGTAATGGAACTTTGTTATTAGTGTTCCTTTTTGCAGTACATGGGCAGCTTCTAGGTTGGGTTGGGATGGATCACCCTCTGAACTGCTGTACTAGCGTTTACCCTGAGCCAAAGAGGAAGTCTAGAGGAGTAAACTAGACCGGGCACCTACTTTGTAGATCAGCGAAGCTAGATGAGATGAATGTCATGCAAGAATCAATGGCATATTTTACAGAAGTGAATATTCAGAGGGAAGTGGCACAGAGCTCATCACAGGAGGTGTGAGAAAGAATTTATAAAAAAAAAAAAAGAAAAAGGTATATGAAGAACACTGGCAAAAGAGCATTTTTTGTAGCACAGATTTTTATTTCTTAAGAGCTTTCTTTATTTCTTTATAATTTTCATTTTCATACTGGACTCTGGAGAAAAATGGACTTTTTTGATTGCTTCTCGTTTATTCCTCTAGTGATTTTTCTGGAAGAGCTGGAGTGTTATCTTTTATTTAAGGCAAGCAGAGACTTTTAGAAAGGCTTTGGGGAGGTGGAGGTATCCATGCCCTAGATAGAAGAACTGAAGCACAGAGTTATCAAACTGCTTACCATAACTCGCACAGATTTCTGATCTGATTACCAGTGTGAAGGAAGCGTAATGATCTAGTACACTTAGTCTGAGTTAACCCAGTTGCACATACCTGCATGCAGGTTCTCTGGTATCTCTTGTGAATAAATGCCACTTGTAAAAACCGTAAGTAGCAGGATCAGTTCAGCCTCATTTATGTACAGCAAAAAGGCAGAGAATTTGGCTCAGAATTTGGGCAGAGCTTACTGGTCTCAAACCAGTCTAGCACAGCAGCACAGCCAGGAAAAATAATTGATTTGGACAATAAAATGTATTTGGTTATGTTAAGCAGAGATGAGGTTTAGTATAAGCCACCTTGCAACTTGCCTGATCTGTTCTTCAATCATTATCTGACTGCCAAAGAAAGCAAAAATCAAATAAAAGATATGGTAGGAAGTTTAAAAGCTCTGCCCAAAACCTTGAGGATTAGAAGCTGAGAACTGATGACTGTGATGGTAATGAGAAAAGGGAAGATCTTGAGGAGAGGTTAGAGAGAATAAATTCAAATTGTACTTTGAAGAAAGTCTAGATGACATATCTCTAAAGTGGATTTCTGGAAAACAGTTTTCAGTTCCAGATACCTTGACTGCCTTTTCTGCATTCCAGCCTGGCCTCTACAAATACAATCAATTCTGTTTCATGCATATTGATATGAATATTGATGGAATCTAAACTATGTTAGTGGGAATTTCAGTGAGAACTGGAAAGTATGCCTCCTTCCCGGACGTCATCAATTTATTGACAACCTCTTGTGTGACTTATTCCTCTCAGGTCCATTTAGGAGCTTTTGATCAAAAGACAAAAAGCAATCCAAGGACTGGCTGAACCAGCCAGATAACTCCTATCAGGGAACCAAGTAAAAGCAGAGGATGGACTTCATTTGAAATGTATAGTAAACTCAGAATTTTCCTGTGAAAAATTAAGTAAAGTAATTTCTATTTATAATCTTCTAAATTAAATACATAAGATCTAGTGTTTTGGAGTAATTTTTCTTTAATCCCCCTAACCCTCATGACTAGATAACCTTCCGTTTACTACAAAGTAAGGCATAGTTCAAATACATGATGCAGTTTGTCTCTGCAAAGTTGGAAAGTGCCTTTAAAATCATTTAAAAGCTGCTAGCATAAGGGAAAAGGATGAAGCATTTTTTTTATATCTGGCTATTTCTGTGGGGAGCAGATGGCCTTAAAGCACAGCTTTGCCATGCAGTGCCCCACCAGCTTAAGTGGGAAGACTCTTAACAGCATAACTCTGTTAACTTGGGTCACATCATGGCCTCCTCAAGGCTCTTTGTGTTGCTTTCTGCAGCAGAGAGGATTTCCCTACAGAAGTCTGTCTTCTGTTGCTACATTAGGGAATTAAAGTGTACAGTAGCTTGCATACAGAGAGGTCTTACATGAACTGTAGGATTTTAATTCCTTCTTTCAGGTAGTACAGAGCAAATGAAACCGTATACGAGCTCGAGATAACAGGGTGGAACTATGACTAATACGCTGTTTCTAAGCAGGGATCACAGGCTCTCTGAGGTACACAACAGTATTGTAAATAGCAAGGTATTTTTTATAAAACCATAATGGTAAGACATAAAGCTTGGACTTGCAGAGACTTCCTATAGATATTGTTAAAATAGAATGGAGACTTCAGTAGGGTGTGGGTTTTGAGCTGAGGTTGTGTGTGTGCATGTTTAATTGTATTCAAAGGATAATAGCAGTATGTCTGATACATTGGACTGAAAAGCATTCCAGCCATGCTCAGAAGTCTTTGAAAGCAGGAAAATATTCCGTAATGGGACATGTTGTCAACATCCTATTTTTTTATTTACAACAATATTACCGTAGGATTGCATCCTGGATATAATGAAGGTGAGAAGTTAGCATTTTGTTCAATTGCCATGGTGAGAAAAGGCAGCTAGGTGCACAGTAACTGAGGAAGAACAGTGAAGTTTGAACTCTGTCTGTGATTCAGGGTTATTGACGTAAGCATTATTGTTTACTTTAAGTGGTACATATGTCCAGGAGTATCAGTTCTTAAAATATGTGATATTGAACAAACAGAATGATTTTTGAACTAATAGGGAATGAGGTAAAAAATAAGTAGCAACAAGCTACTTATGAGTACCTTGCTTAAAAATAAGTAACAAAATCGTAGTTGTTTCATATTATATTGGACTACTGATAAGGAACATTGCATTCTGTTTGTTCACATTGCCTATTTGATTTTTCCAAAAATATTGACGTGATATAAAATTTCCTTTTTAAGAGGATGTAACCATTTCACAGTTCTAGAAGTACTGTCAGTAAGAATTTCACAATTCAATTGACAGTTTGCTTTTTAACATCATTCTTGTAAAAATTATGAAAACAGTTTGTAATGGTGATGCTTTAAATGTCAGGAAAACATGCATGTTAATATAGGAAAGAGAGTTGAAAGAGAGGAACAGAGAGAGGGGAAAAAAAGCTGTCAAATTTACTTAAACAATCACTATCTAAGTATGTAGTCCAAGACTTTCAAATAATGTACGATCCTGTGTAGGTGCCAAACTTGAAAGTACATGGATTGAATAGTCTGAAAAGCAAAACTATTTAGGGTCTTTTGAAGTGTTTCAAGTTAGATACTTGAAATCAAGCATTATTTACATTGACAATTGTTCTCATGAGTTGTACCATTTTAATATTTGAAGTAAGTTTTTCCAAAAATAGAGCACAAATGATTCAGAAAGCTCTATCCCGTGTTTTGAAATAGAAGCTTGGTGCTTTCCACATTAATCAAGTTCTCAATTTCAGAATATTTCAAAATGTTTTAATTCAATTAGGAAAAATTTGATTTGGGCTAGTACTCAAGTAGTGGCTAAACTACATTTCTGTCATTAATTTACTGTATCTGTTTCTGAAGTCATCGTGAAAGGAGCACTATTAAAAAACCGACTTGTGATTCAGATTTTATTTTTTAGTACTGCAAAGAGTAGAAGTTTTTCTTGAACTTGTTTGTGCTTGCATCGGCTGCTAGGATTTTCAGAGCGGAAGTAGTAAGACTACGTGTAGTTAGTAGACTTTATAGTAACCATGGAGTATAAAATGCTCGGTTTTGAATTAAACTGTAGCGAGCAGAAGCTAGAGCTTTTTAACTTTCTGGTGTCTAAAGTTTATGTACCAGAGCTTATTTTAAAAACATTTTGAGATGTAAATATGCATTTACAGTGGAGTAACAGTAGTTTATTAATTCTAAAACCTGAAATGATGCATATCCATCTTAATGCATTATAGTAATTATTTTAGTTGCCGTGATTTTCATGCAGTAATTTATTTTTGACATTTCTAGAGTTATCTCCTTTAAAATATATTTACACTCCTATTATGTTATTTTACTAATTTTATTTAAACAGGGAACATTACATATTGAATACTGTACCTCAATTTTATTGTAATGATTTTACTGGTTACCAGGTGGGGTGGCAGTTGAAAAATTTGGTGAATGCACTACGAGAGGATCCGAGTGGTGTTATCTTAACTTTGAAAAAGCGACCTCAGAGCATGCTTACCTCAGCACCAGCTTTACTGAAAAATATGAGATGGAAGCCCCTTGCTCTGCAGGTAATGAAGCTTAATCATAAGTCATACACCATCATTTTAACTACAGATTATCTCAATGATGCTTTATTGTGCTTCATCTAAGCAGCATATGGATTTATTCTTGTATGCTTTGAAAAATTGTTTCTGAAATGATTTCTCTGCAGCTTGTTCTCATAGGCTCAATTGAAATTAAAGCTGTTAGTAGAACTTTTCAAAGTTAAGAAATAATCAGTGCAGAATTTATGATGCAAAAACGTAGCCTCAAATAAATCTTTGAGCAATGGGGAAGAAGGGACAGCCTGCTGCATGACACAGGATGCCTTAGGGTTCTCATGCACTTTTCCGAGCATATTTAAGAAACTGTCCAGTTTTAATTAGACTTTTTGTTAAGCTTTCAGTGCAATATATTTCCGAAGAAAGAAGTAGGAAAAAATCTTTAGTTCTCAAGTTTCATCCATCGTGAAACTATAAGAAAATTCGTAAGGTCATTTCTATTCAATGAAACACTTGACCATCAAAATTTGCTCATGTAAATAAAGTGGCAGTTGTGTTAGATTTCTTCTTGAGATCAAACCCTTGCACATAAAGAAGTGTAGTACAGGAGGTCCAGCTGGGCCTTTATTTTTATTAGGTCTGCAATGTACTGAAAACCATGTAATGGTTTCATTAAAGCTTTCATGTTTCACTCCAGGATAAAATGTCACTGTGATGGATTACTCTAGGAAATAAGAGTTATCTCCAGACTGATGAAAGCGTGTAACCAACAGATGGAACTGAAAAATAATTCCCTTTTTCCTTTCAGTTCAGACAGGACAATGTTTAGAATTTTATTTTCATTTCATAAAGAATATGTATTTTCAGGACATGTTTATTATCATAATAAAAAGGCTAATTTAAAATTAAGTACATTTGGAGGAGAAAAGATTTTTGCATTGTTCAGTCAAAAAGAAAATGAGGTATGGAAATGCCACTGCTGGTAGCTGTGGTCTTTGCCATTTAAAATATTAACAGGATCATAAAAAGGACTAATGCCATGAAGAACTTCTTTTAAATATATATATATATATATGTATATATTATTTTATAACAGTTAAATGCATCATCATCTTTCAAACTGAATAGATTTTAAATGATTAAGACGTCTTGGCCTTTCAGATACAGAGTACTGACTAGAGATGTGATATAAACTTTCAGCCAATAATTTCTTATTACTATCTGAACATAAAAGTGTAAATTTGTATGCATGATATGAGTGTATGAATTTCATACTTGAAAGCTGTGTTTTTGTCATAGCTTTAGTGAGAGTGTGTTCTGCAAATGAATATTGCCGATCATTGCTTTAAATGGAGTCAAATACTTTTAGTCTAAATCCTCTTTGTTAGTTTGGTATTTCTTTGGTGAGTTGGGTTCGTTTCCCTAAGTATTCCTTTTGGCTGCACTTTATTGTTTTTTCATTAGAATAATTCCACTGAAGATCCCACAAAAGACTTCCTGAGGCAGAGCATTTATTATCACATATATGCAATTAATTCAAGAGAGGATGCTCCAAAAGGATAGGAAGAAATTGGAAAAAAACAATTTCCACCATTTAAACTAAATCCAATATGAAAGTAAGAATTCCTACGGTCCTCTTACAGTGAAAGTGTTAATGAGCTGAAGTTTTTGAAACTGCACAATGAGTTCCAGAAACAAAAATCCAGTTATCTTTTAGTATGTTTTATATGACTATATTTTACCTCTCAGCATACTTAATTCACTATAGATACTGGGGTATTATTCAACTTACCTAGCTTTAGAGATCCACTATGTACCTATCTACATTTGGACTTGTCATTTTTACTCCCTTTGTGGTCAGCGGACAGACAGAACAGTTATTAGGTCATTTATCTTGACCTGTTTTAGATCCATCTACCTTAGGATGAGGTAAATTGCACCCTCTATGTGTCTCTTTCTCTCCATTTGGTAATAAAGGAAGTCTGGACAGCCAGCACGGATGTGGATTATCTGTAACAGATAAGAAGAAATTGACCCTAGACAGAGTTTGTCTGTAATATTGAAGGGCTTAAGGGGGAAAGGGGGGCATTGTTTTTCTTTTTACCAATAGCGCAGAAAATACGAATATTTTTAGGACACAATCAGTACAAATACAGATATTGCTAAAAATCAGAGTTAGAAGTCTAGTATCATGATGATATTGTTCTGATTTTGTGAAACGTGACATCAGGAAAAGGCCAGAACCTCATTCAACACTTATGTGTGCAGTATGCATATGTATGTCTGTTGTAATCTGTGATTTCACGGTGAGAAATAACCATTTTCTTAAGTAGACTGAGTGTGGAGAAAGGTCCAGGGCCAAGTGAAGACAAACTCCTAAATCTGTATAATGTGAAGATTAATAGTGTTATTTTATGCAGGTCAGAGATGTTGAAGTTCGTTCACTACTGTTAAAGTTTAAAGGTAGCCTAAGTGTGATACTGATACTGTATGTTTGATTAATTAAACAGCAGCAAAAGCAGTCAGAATGCAGGGAATTTTATAGATTTAAAAGCACGCAGAAATAATGTCTATTTGTTTTAATAGTTCAATTTCTTTTCATATTCCAGCATTTGCCCATTATCAGAGACAGAATTTACTTCAAACATTTCTGCAAAAAATTCTTCAAAGGACTGTATGTTTTGTGATTGAAATTTCCCTATGTCTGTTCTTACAGTCTGTATGTTCCAGCTTCACGTAAGGGTGCTGTTCCTCAGTAGCGGCAAGGGAGTTAGTGTGAGAGGGGACTGGGAGAGTGGCAGCAAACAGGGAAAAAACATAAAAGGAAAAGCTGTACTTCCAACAGCTTTGGAAATAAAGGAAATTACAATAACATGTTTTCCTACATCAGAATGTCTTGAAATAATAGAGCATGCTATAACTGTGCTGTCATCCTAGAGCTAAGTTAATTGAACCATGTGTATTATTCAGCAGACACAAGCTATAATGAAATTATGACTCAGTAATAATTCTGTTAAAGTACAAAATATGAGCAAAAGACGTATCTCTAGAATAAGATAGGGGGCAAAATTCTAATAAAATGTGAATTAGGATCTGCAAACTAGCTGCTGCAGTTTTTTGGTTCTGCAATTGGAGTGAACAGAGGAAAGGGAAAATGTGGTGTCACATATTTTATCAAATTGCACTGAGTGAGGTGGGAAAGTGAAAGTTTGCCCCACTGTCATGTGGCCTGGCACAAAAACAGAGACTAAGTTTTTGTATGCACTCTAGCAAAGAATATCTTTAATGGTTGTTTTGCAGCAAATGTCGAGGCTAAATATTTCAGCCAGTTAAATTAAGAGACTCGTTTACATTGGGATGTTTTAATTGAAAGCCTTTAAAACTCAATTCTAGCTGAAGGTGAATAGTGTCGATGCATTATTGGTAAATTGCCTTCTGCTTGTGTAGTTGATATTTGAACGTAAAGTTTGCCATTTGCAGCTACATGAAAAAACAGATTTAACAGAGAGATACTAAGTATGCCTGGAAGTTGGAAAAGTGCTAGATAAGTCCTCCAGTGCCAGCAGTATGCAGGTGCTACGAGTGACTCAAAGCAGTATGTCAATCAATTTGGTTTGTGAATTGACAGAGTATCCTGCTAATTAAATTATGTGTCCCGATAACAAAATTTTTAAGCATTTGCTGTCTGCTGTTAGTGATCGAGATTAGCCGTATGCCAGCCAAAAGTTCATGGTCTCTGAATGTGGAAAAGGCTTTGAGATTGCTCAGATATTAACTGGTTACTAATTGGCATAAATACTATTTAGGATGTTCAGCAGTCTCCTTGGAACAATTTTGCCCTCACATCGCAGTCTTGCCATGAATTACATGTTAAATACAGGCTACATAGTAATGGATTCATTGTTTGTTTTATTTTTTTTTTCTTTTAGCAGAAATTGAATATTTTGGGGTTTTTTTTTTCCGTAATTGTTCTCATCCTTAGAATAAATCTGAAAGGTTAGAGGAAAAAGGGAAGAAAAATAAATGTGCATCTTCTGTAGCAGTCCAAAAACTGATATCCAATGCCTCGATATACAGGAAAATATTACAATTAGCCCATGGCTATGCTATGCTCCATTATATAATGAGCTTATATTTTGCAAGTGCATTAATTCCAGCTGTAAGGTCAATCAGTACAGAAAGAAAAATATCCATTTTTCCTCTTGTATCCCGATTAAAGCAAATGGATTTTTGTTGTTGTTTTCAGTCACTTGATGATTGTCTGTTTTAATATCCATCACTATCCAACTTCTTGTGGATTATCAGAGTTCTCCCTTAATGCATTTTGGAATCTTGTCAGAATTTGCGAAGTCAAGGGATTTTCAGCCTGTGTTTGTTGTTATTGCTTTTATAAAATTTGAATTAGGCAACTGTGGCCTTGGGGAATTTTGTGGTTGCTTTTGCAATTGAAGGTATTCATTAATATGGTATTGTATCACAATTATTAAGATATTATGCCTGCAAGAGCACTCTTACCAACTTTGGCTCTCAGTTACTTTCCCGGATACTGTGATCCATTTTGCGAAGCCTAGAATGATATTTCAGCTTACAGTGTTCCTATTTCTGACAGTTATTGAACTTGGTGAGCATACTGGATAAGTTGTTTCAACTTTAATTTTTTATTTTTCTTATTTGACCTAGAGTTGATTAAATTAATTCTGTTAGAACTACTGAAACTTCCGTCTGTCCTCAAAAAAATGAACTGATGGTTCAGAACCTAATTTAAATAAACTTCCTTAATCTGGATTGTCTGTTTCATTTTTCCTTCCCACTTTGTGTTATTTTGGGGAGATTTCGAAGGACGGCTCCCCAAAGTACTGTGTGAACAAGGGTGGAAGGTTCAATAAATAAGATTATCAGAGCATATGAAATTTTAAGTAAGTCACTATCATCACATTACCAAGAAACTAGTCCTCCTTTGCCTTCTGGAAGATACTTTGCTAATTAGTCAAAAGAAACTGGACTTTGGCTACAGCGTGGAAGACTTG